TTGGAAGTTTTTAGCCTTCTCGGAGTCGAAATTCGCTTTGTAAAATAGCAGCCGGTAGAAGAAACTGACGCGGTCAGCTCGCTTTTCGTCTGTGTCTGCTTCTAAAACCCAAACCAGAGTAGGCTCGAGGGCGGTATGGGCATCCTCGTCTGTACACCCAATATCGGGGTAGTCGCTGATTGAAGGCTCGGGGATTCTCTTTCTCTTTGTGGCCCATGTATGCATGTTGGAGTAGTGACAGAGTGGTAATAGGAGAGCCCCTTCGGAAGTCGGGCCGGTTCAGCGGCCTTCAAGTAAGACAGCTCGTGGATACACTGTGGATAGGAAAAGCAGGCAGACCAACTATCGTGAAGCAGTCGGCCTGACTGCCATGACTTTATCCACTTGCGCCCGACGCGAACTAAAAGGGCGTTAAACTGAGAAAGAAGAGCCAACGAGAGAGCACGTACCGTCCGGGGATGCTTGGGGCGTCGGTGGAAACAGAGTCTACTTGTCGCGTCAATGGCAAGCAGAGCACGTACACCATCTGGAAGAGGTTGGGTAGCCTTGAAGACGAAATGTGAGCAATGCAAGGTGCGTGTAAGACGGGAAATTTACCTGTCGCTTCGAGGCCGACATGGTTTGTTAAAAAATAAAGGAAAAAGGAAGAGAGGGAAGAGAGATAGTTACCTCAGATAGCTGGACCGTTCCGCGGGAGTTTCTGGATCGAGCGACGAGATTTCTTCCTGTCACACTGCTCGATCGCCCAAAACTCTTTCCGTATATTCATTGCGTGACCGCGAATGCAGCACTCAGCGCGTCAACTTCCAAATCAAGTTATATGTAAGAAGCCGCAGACGCATTCTTACGCTGGGCACCGGCGCGTTGGAATAGACTCGCGAAAGACCGAGATGAACCATGCTCTGCGCATTGTGAATCCCAGGGAGACTACGAGAATAAAACAAGACCAAAGATAGACAACTCAGAGACCATAAGCCATGGAAAAAGAAGACACGACGCCAAAACTAGTGCAGGTTAGAAAACGCAAGTAAAATGTAGGAATTTACTTGCAATTTACGCAGAACGACGCCAGCGCGGACAAGAGGAGCAGGTCGACTCAAGGACATGCATATCCGTGCAAAATATGTATGCAGGAGGAGGATCGGAGGCCCGAGTAAAATTCCATATTGCTTGCATGTGGATCGATCGCAAAAGGTTGGCTGTCACGCCAGTCACAACAGTAGTTCTAACAAGGCACAAGTTCGCACGGTAGCCTCCACCCTCCACCGCACCCGCTCCTCTCTCCGCCTGCGCATCCACCACGTCGGCATCGCGGGCAACGAAACCGTGGATGCACGTGCGAAGGAAGCCGCGTAGGGCGCCGTCACCCCTCTCCACACCCGCATCCGTGCGCTCGACACCCGCTCCCCCTCTGCAAGGCGGCCGCCCTCGCGGACGGTCCGCAGGCATTCCGCCAGCGCTGGACCACGGAGTGGTCATCCTTCCCGCGCTCGCGCCGCCTCGCAACGTTTGACAACACAAAGCCCTCCAACGCAGTCCACAAAATGTACGACGACCGACTTTCCCTTCATGTCCCGCACGGTCACTACGGCCGCCTCAAGTACGACCCCGCGCTCGCGCGCCTCCGTTGGAATGTCGACTTCCTAGTCGAAGTCGTCGCCGACGTCCTAGTGCAGATCGTCGCCGCTCGCCTCAACGACACGGCAATCACAATTGACTGGACGGATCCGCTCGATACACGAGCTTGGTTAGTCGCAGCCAAGAGCGATGCGGAGGCGATTCTCGTAGCATCCGGTGTGTCTCAATCGCTAGAGCAGGCGAAGAACGCGGCGCGCCGATCGGAACTCGTACTCAACTTCTTGCGGGCGATGACTGCGTGCAAGCGGAGACACGACCGCTGGGTTGCCTTGGGTGGTCAAGGGCTAGCGAACCCTCGCCGGGGCTTCCTCGCGGCGCCGAAAGACCAGCGGCAGCAACAACTCGACGACATCCTCGAGCAGGCGCGGGAGGCCGATTCGTTCGACTTGCCGGTGGACCCGAACCACTTGGGTTCGTGGCGACATCCAATACTCTCCGAGTCTTTCGCCACTTGGTTCATTAGCCTGAAAGACGGCACAGATGTCGTCCAGGCGTCGAATGCGCTGGGTCGCACCGAAGAGTCGCACAAGGCTGCTATGAAAAACCAGCAAGCGCTCGGCGATTGGAACCGGACACATAAGATCGACCGATCCAAGATTGTGGACACGGCTGCGATCGATCGCAAGAACTTGGTTGAAGCGGCCATGGCAACGGCGAAGTTGGGCACATATGTGTACGAAGATATGTCCAAGAGCTGGCGGATGGGTGTATGCGGCGACTGCGGCATGTTTCTGATCGGTGGCCACAACGCCGCCTATCATCGTTGCGTGTCTGGTGAGCGGCGCACCTTGACGGGTGGCAACTTTTCAGACCTAGAGCGCGTCCTGTATCCGCACGACCTTCTCACCAATCTGGCCATGCTGGCAGCGTTGGGGGATATGCCGGATGTCCTCGCTGAATTGCGTCTTGTCGCAGTTCCAGTCCGGTATATCTTCGACATCCAGGGCCCCACGCTGCAGAACCTCCTCCGGCCGCAAGACTGGGCCGCTTTGTCGCCGGTGCTGAGTTCGGATGCCAGCGTTTACGTTAGCGAACTCGCAGCCGACAACGACGACCTGCTGCTAACTCACGCAGTTGATGTAATCTTGACAACCAAGTCCACCTGCCCGACCAACTTTCTTCCCGTCAATTTTGCATCCCGGCAGGCTTGGAACGAGGGTCAGGCCAATATGTTGAACAAGTGGTTTGTCTCACGTACGTGCGTTCAACTCTTCTACGTGAACTGGTGGCTTATTTTCGGGAGGCACTCGTGATCTCTACCTGGTCGCGTGCGACGGTCCTCTTGGAAAGGCGGAGGCACGGTTCTTCTTCCCCAGCGACGAGGTCACGAAGAATATGGACGGCGCCGAGAGAACAAGACGCAAGTGCCCTTTGTGCAACAACTCTTACGCGTGCAAACATCGGCGGTTCCACAAAGTCGAGACCATCCTCGACCTCCCGCCACATTACGCTCGCCAAGTATGGTTCGCCTTCCGGCGTGAGGTACAGAGGCCAGGCAAGAAGGCGAAGAGTACGAAGAGAGAAAAGACTCGACGTTAGGCACTTCATTTTACTTGCTTGTAGCTCTGTTGTGTGTTGTAGCTTCTAAATTGTAATCGTGCTCTGCTGGTCATGTCGGATAATGTAAGTTTTGGTTGGATATTATTATGAGACCTTAACAAGCGACTCAGTAATGATGGGCTGAGCGAAGGAGGGAAACCCAGGAGAGTTTTATGCTTGTTTCGGTTTTTTGTGCAGTGTTTTTGGCTTGCACTCTTCGTCGTCTCTCTTCTGTCTTGGTTCTCAGTATTCTTAACTTCGACAGTGTTTTTAATATCTGATCTTCTGATACAGGAGACCTTTGAAACCCAGCTTTTCCTGCTGAGTTGGCCCAGACCTGTGGATTCGATTTCATTGGAATAATTGGCCGGCGCCAGTTGGAATGAGAGCCTTGAAGTTAATACTTGACGGGAATGTCCAGTTTGGAAGACTGAGGACAAATTGAAGGTGAGAAGAATACTAATGTTGAAGCCTCAGGGAAGGCGGATGTTTTTGTATTGGTTCAGGTCTCCTAGGAGCCTGTTAATTCCATATCCAGTGTCGATTGCGACCAATTTCGTTATTTCTTGTGTATTATGCGCGGACCGGCAAAGTCGGTCCGGTCCATCGGCTCTCGTCGGATTTCTCGGCTCTTAACACCGGCAGCCCCTGATGTCCAGTAAACAAAGGTACTCGTTCACCGGCGTCCGTTGGATCGCCCCACCCCATTCAACGGCGTTCAGCGAACGCGCTGATCCTCAGTGGACAGGTGTTTTTTGGTCATGAGCCAATGAGTTAGCACATCATGTTCACGACGTTCGGTGGACCCACTGCACATTGCATCAAAATATTTATACATTCTTGTCACTGTAAATCCCTCTCAGCATTGAACTCAACTGGATTTCCAGTCATATCTACAGAATTGTTCGATGGAATCCAGCAGATAGTTGGTGCATGTCCAATTTGCCAAAAGTACACTGAAGTGAGAATCCGTTGGAATCCAGTGGATAACTGGAGTATGTTCACTGGACATTCAACGAAAGTGCATCGGATATCCGTTGGATAACGCCGTATGTCGTTGGAATCCAGCGGATAGTTGGTGCATGTCCGATGGAAATTTGCCAAAAGTACACTGGAGTTCACTGAGAATCCGTTAGAAACGATTGGATAACTGGAGTATGTTTGCCAGACATTCAATACAAGTACACTGAGTTTCATTGAGAATCCAGTGAATGTCCAGCTGAATCCACTGGACAGACAAGATGTTTTTAGAGAAAATTACATGAAGAGAGCAAAAATTATTCTGCGCTTCCAGCCATATCCCAGAATTCCTCGGTCAAACCAGCCATGATCGGATGGTGTCCATCAGGAAAACCGCAGCCGAGATGAACCTATGAGCATTATGAGGTCCGATGAAATTCAGTGGATAGGGGCTGCTGTTTAGCGGCCATCACCGACGGCCGATATCTAATCTTTTTGATCATCGGATCACAGCGGCAGCCGTCGCAGGACGCCGGTGAACGTTGTCCGCCGGCGTCCTTTGTAAGTCCGGGCATATAACTCTATTTCTTCGACTCGGACTACTGCCGTCCAGTGAACGTTGTGACGGGAGGAGGCATCAATCCATCGATCAATCGATCAAACTCAACCTTTAAGTAGTCCTTTGGTGCACTTCATTCTCAAACGGCACCTTCACTCAGCCAAACCATAAAATCCTTTTTCGGAAGTAACCGCCATCACACATGAGCGGAAATACTTTTACATCGTATCTCGCTCATTTCTGCTCCGATTTTGTTCGTTCTTGCACTCACAACATGGCCTGTACTCATAGAACAGGCATAAACGCTTCCTTGGCTCAGTTGGTTAGAGCGCCAGTCTCATAATTGTGTGAGTAACTATGTAGTTACGCAATCTGGAGGTCGAGAGTTCGACCCTCTCAGGGAGCAATTTTGTTTTCTTGTTAATTACGCAGTTTGGGTGAGAATGATAGGACCTTACTTTTACAAGTAGGCGATCACTGGAAGTCACGGTCATATGTTTGGACCCGCTTGAGTTTCATAGTCGCTGCAGTGGTTTGCTGATGAGATTGGTACTGGAAACTTACTTTTTCAAGTCTGGGATCACTGGAGGTAATATTTTGGTGTTTTGGACCTCTTGTTGGAGGATAAATATCTCTCTTGCATAGCCAGATACCCCCATACACGAATGCATGTTTTTTTAGCCAAGATTGAGGCCACAGTGAAGCTTTTAAAATACCTGAGGTGAGTGTATTCACATCTGGTGCCGGGGCCGCAGCTGCATACCTCCAACCTAGTTCGAAAAACACATCTTCATTAATTTCTCCCGAAAGAACGAAAAATATACCATGGACGTGCCGTCCGGCTTTATCCTTCCAACTCTCGTGCGAGTCGTGCTCCAGGAGATGTGTGTACGCTACTCCTGGCCTTGGGTGATCTTGCGATCACTACAGGATGACCCTGGCAATCCTGGATTCTCCGATACACATTCATGGGTGTCGAATGAGCCCCAAGGAAACGAGGCTCACCGTGACGATTCGGAAGATCCAGATGTGTGCAAATGGGTGCGCCGCCGACCCTCCTCGAATTCTTCAACTGTCAAATTCGTTTGATAATCCCAAGAATCTTGAACGCGGTCATTCGCTGCCCTGCCCATCTGGAAAGCGTCCTTGGTGGAAGGGCAGACGTGGGAAGGAACGGGCTGAAAACAGTGAAAACTTGAAATACATCGCTTGCTTGTGAACCTACGAGTGCTAGTATATGTTGCATGTATGTGCGGCTGGGTTTTGCCCTGTAATCTTACGAGCGGAAAGTCATCCGTTTCCCCACCTTTCATGAATGAAGTACGGCAATCCGAGTCAGCACATTCCGCTTTAGGAAATGCTGCTTTCTTTCCACTACCATGGCTGACAGCCTCTCGCCAAAATGTACTCCACTCAAACAGGAGTACGACTCGTGCTTCAACGTCTGGTTTGAAGGTTACCTCGAACCCGCAATCTCGGCATCTGCCACAGAGGCACAGCGCACCGCCCACTATGAACTAAAAGCGGAGGAATTCCAAGCGAAATGTGGCAAGGTATACGCCGAGTACCAGAATTGTATCCAGGTCGGCTTTTAACAGTTATTTTTTCCCCGCATACCGCTTGACGTCTTCGTAGAATGCCGTGAAGCAAAAAGGAATCGAGCCTTTACTTCAACAGGCTCGGGAAGAGCATCCGTTGCGTGAACCCATTCCTCCGGCGACGCCTCCATCCAAAGAAACGTCTTAACCGATTCAGGAACCTAGTTTCTACAGGTATGTCTTCGTGATCCTCTGCGTCCGTTCAAGTTGATCCATCTTGGCGAGTCAAGATAATGTATTCCATCTATTAATGTGTCCCTTCCCCATTTTCGGTGTCCCTGGGATAAGCACGGCGTAAACAGGCTGGCACAACCGCGTGAAAGCGCCGCGGGTCTTGATTCAGGGCGATTACTTTCAAAAAATCACTTCAGATGAGGGCGCACATTCCATGTCTACCTAACCACCAAGGTGAAGCCCTCGATCGTGCTGGTGTACGGCATCATCGAAGCGGATGACCTGCCCGCTACATCGCGGTCGTCAACGCGCCGTGTGCCTACAACCCGTGTTCTCGTTCTGCGGATCCTGGAGACGCATCCTACCTCATATCGGGTACGGCGAACAGCGCGCTTTGGCAGCAGATTTCCCTGTACACGACCCAGCTTAAATTGGGAGAATTTTCGTGGCTATGGTGCGCATAGCAGCATTCGTCGATGCTGGGTATCGGTGAAATAGGTTGTCTCCGCCATGCCGCATTGACGCGCCGTTCCATGCTTCTGATTTCTTTTCCTCGTTTTGTGTGCATACATACGTACAATCTGCGCCATCGCAAATTTGAGGCGTTTTACTTGGCATTTTTTTTTTGCTTCCGCGTTGTGACCACGGTTGACCCCAATGTGTTCCAAATCAGGCTGTGGCCACCAAGTTCCAACGATGCAAGTTTGAGTTCTGCCGAAACCGAGCGGAACGAACGTCGAACAGGGAAGGCGGGAGAAAGCGGAACTGCCTGAAACGGGGTTGTCGGTCGTGATCATGTCCGTTTCTGGTTGCCTACGCGCGACACGCCGTCCGCTGCTGATTCGAAGTACTACGTATCGTCGAAAGGGTCGTCTTGCATATGCAATATGCGGCCTTTTTAAAAGAGGTCGCGAATTAGGGCATAGCGGTCGGCGCCGTCCGCATCTTCTCCTTCCACACACCCACTGTCAATGCATGACCGCCCCACACCCGCAGAGCACGACTCAAATAAGCACGCTCCTGCACGAGCTGCTGGGCGTGATATTCACGAACTGCGCGGTGGGGTGTCCCGACGCGCCGCTCGTCCTCGGGGCAGTCTCGCCGCTCTTTCGAACCCCTGGCCGAGTTGAGTCACACTCGGTCTGACCCCCAAACCAGGGCAGAGTGACTTGTTCCTTGTACGTCCCACCAAGGCGCCCCGGAACAAGGCGCGAATTCGCAAACACGACGCCAGCCGCGTGGAGTAGCCTCCAACTCAAGCTCGGCAACAGCACTGAAGCAGACGCCAGGGAGCGCGTGAGGGTGAAGGCGAAAACCACGCTCGTGTCGCCTCGTGCTGGAGTCGGCGTTCCGGCGGCGGCAGGCAAGACCGAGACTCACGCACCGGCGGAGGAAATGAGGGTACCAGAGGCGCTGGAGGTGCTCCGGGACCACGCGGGGCGCATCAGTATGCTGAGCCTATTCACGGACACACAGGCGCAGGCGCGAGCGGTACTGGATCTACGGCAGCGAACAGGGTACAGACGAACACGACGCGGGTTTGCAAAGCCTGTGCATCGTTGCGTCCGCAGGGGAAGCTAGTGCGCGCCTGTTCCCCACGATCCAGAACCTCAGCGAGCTGGAGACGACGAATGTCACGCTCAGCGTGTTGCCGGCCCCAGATCTCGGGGGACTGCAGCAACTACGCATCATCCAGCCCCTCGTCTCCGCACCCGATACCGCCGCGGACGTCATACAAATCGAGGCGCGGATCGCCGACGCCGACCGCGCGGGGGAAGTGATGACAGAGGCGGAATCGGAAATGGGGTTCCTACCGCAACTAGCAGAGATCAATCTGCGCGCGAACGTCGTGCCGCTTCTCGACCAGCTGGTCGTCCCGGCGGTGTGCGATCTTGACGGGAAAGATGGATCATTTCGCCGGCAGAGAAGGATAAGGAGTCTACCAGAGCCCGACTTCAGGATACCGAGTATCCCTTGAGGTATGCATGTTTGACGGATGGGTATTCTGTGTCAGGGACCGAATAAACAGGAAACTTGAAGGAACAGAGGTTTTGAAGGCCGAGCTTTCGCTGTCGCCCGTGTGCTGCAGGATAAATAACTGTAGTTGAACGGCCTGCATTTCCTAGCTCCTGAAAGAGGTGTTGAAGAACCGTGGAACCAAGATATTTGCTCGTGAAGTAAGTATGAGGGGAAAGAGGAAGCCAGTCGGAGGTTGCCGACACCTACCACTTTCTGCTTCAAGCGTTCGCTATCCAGCTTATTGCATTACAATGCCATTCTCGGGCAACCGACGACCAGTATTCAATGCTATGCTGTTAGCGCAGGCGTCATTTTTCTACTACTTCAAGCGCAAGAAAACCGCCGCCGAACGAAATAGCTCGGAGGCCCGGATATCTGTTCTCGAGTCTGTCGTGGAACAATTGCGGTCCAATCGACCGCTCTCCGACTCCGACCTGGCAAGATTGAAAAGACTCGCCGCACCCAGACCACCGGTCACCGAACCCGAGCTTCACTACGAGCCTGTGCCTTGGAAAGAGATCTTATTGGGGAGGGACAGACAAAAGAGCGAAATGGACATGACGGACGCATACCTGGACAAGGTGTGTACAAAAGTCCTCCTATCTAAGTATAAGATCTCGTCTGAACGTATGTGTTAGATCGCAGAGGAGCTCGAAAAATCAAGCCAGGAACACTGACGAACGCGGTACGAATTGCCACCCCGGTTGACTACATTATCTCACACTGTTCTGCTCCAGTCCGGCTTATCTACTAATCTACAAACCACACTGTACGATTATCGCCTCACATACACCTGTATTAAAGAATCACCAAAAGTGTTACGGAACAAAAAAGGCCTCGAACGGATCCTAGGCGTCATTGAACCTTCTCTATAGCCTTTTCGCCGCTCATGCAAACTGCGGTGATGGATTCCGTTTGTCGTAAAGTCGCCATCTGGACGTGGGACTTCGCAAGCGAGTCGTGAACTCTGTTCATCTCAAGTGTACGTGCTGTCGACTAATACTGTATCATACTTCTCCTCGAAACTGTCTGGAACGAACGGATATAAGAATATCGCAGACATCCTTCAGCAGTTTCGATAACGTTCTCAGCAAAGACCTAGCTCTTCTGGTTTTCCATACAGGCGGTTGCTGTCTCCTCCAAGTTGGCCGTTAACATGTCTGAAAGCATAGATCCATCGTTCTTTTCAAGGTCAGTAAGAAACTGCCGGACCCAGATCTATGCTGTTGACTGAACTGTCCTGCACAGTGCTCTTATCGAATCGGTGTCCTTCCAAACGACTACAAGTACCTCGGTATTCACATCCAACGGGCAGACCGAAACCACGACAATACCAATAACAATAACTGCCTTCGAGAGTCTCGTCCCATATCTGCCCTCAGAAACCCCAGAAACTCCAGAACCTCCCGCTCCAACCAAGTCACGGTAAGTCCGTCGGTAGCCGGGTGGATTCGGCTGAGCGGTACCTAGGTCGACGTTCCCCGTCCTTGCGATTACTGCAGCCGCAGGTGGACTTGTGGCGGTCCTTTTAGCAACTGCTTTATATGTGTATATCCGCCAGCGTCGACGACGACCGGTCAGGATCGGGAGCGATCAGAAACTGTGTCTAAACACG